TCACTAATAATTAATTAAGATTCAGGCAAAAAATATTGTTTTCAATTTTCAACAGCCGGCATTTGAATAAATTGTTACGACAGGCCACTTTGCGAATCAGTATTTCTTCTCTTTGTTTTTTTTTCTTTTTTTTTTTAAAGTTTGCTTGTATGTACTGTTAATACTGTTAGTTACCTTTAAGAGTAATTATCTAGTTTATGAGTTTAAAAGACGTGTGAAAGAACGAACTGGATCTTATATATATATATATATGTATATAAACATATATTTTAGCATTTGTTTAACTCCGTTATTCGTTTACAATTTAATTGGAAAGTAGGATTATAATATTTACTTTATTTGATATATACATTAATTTTTTTCCTGTTTATTTCTAACTGTATTTACATCCTATGTAAAGTTGTTTTTATTTTTACTATTGATTATGGAAATTACAACAATAACCACAAAGATGTTGATTTTTTTTTTTTTTTTTTGCAAATTGTTGTGTTTTATCAGTAAAAACACGTTCGACCATGCTTGGGTGTATCTTTTTTAATAAAGGGAGAAAAAATAATAATTATAATTTACACATATTTGTTTTTATATAAAGAGTACAACAACGACAAAAACAAGCACAACAACATTGTTTTGTTCTATATTGTATATAATAACAAGCAATAACAAAGTCTATGTTGGGTTATCAAATAAATGTATGCACTCAGCTGTTTTACCAGTTGATTTTAAGGTGAGTGCTCTCGCGAGTAGAAGAGAAGAGAAGAAAGGGAGAGAAAGAGAGGCTGATGTACTTGCTTCGCGGGTAAATGAGCAAATATGAAAACAAATATTAAGTTTTCCTTTAGTGGATGTCTAATCTTTAATGTTTAGTCTATTGGGAATTTTTAGAAAATATATTTATTTGTATATGTAAAGGCGTTACTTATGTACGTAATTAGATGAAATTTATAAAATTAATAATGCCATAGAAATGAAGAAATATTCGTTCTCAATAATGAAGTATTGGTTGACATTTAACAGAAACATTGGAAGTTCTTACTCGCAGGTTGGAATGGAATTTCCGTCAAATCAGTTAGAGGATAGGTCTTCATTACAGCATAATCTGAATCCGTCTGTGTTTTTAAGAATAAAAAAATGTGGTTTTTATTCGTTGCTTATCAACCACAACAGATGCGAGATGTATTTACGTTCTAAGCAAAAAGGGAAAAAGTCGGTCAGGCCTACTCAATATTATAGAATATTGACATTTTACTTTTTTGTTACAATTTTTGCAAAACTTAGAAGAAAACTTCAGAGACTCCATAAAATGTGTATATCCTTGATCAGGATCAAATTTTAAACCGACGTAAGTGTGTACGCCTATAGTAAACAATCTCTTGGTTGTAAAAATGGAGATATCTGCGTCAGACGAACGAGACAAATTTCCATTTTTATTTTACAAACATAATAAAGTTCATCCGCGTCCGCCAAATATTATAGAGTAAGTAAATTGCAGTTTTTCTTTATTTTAAGTGTTTTGCTATAACGGTGTTGGGTATAAAGATTCGATAGCAGCCGAATATAATTTTCCTAATTGCTTTTCTTTTTTTCGGGTGTTTGATTCGGTTTACGTTAATGCTGCATTATGGTGGAGCGATCTTTTTGCATAAAAATAATAGTAATTCGCGCGAATATATTTAAAAAAATACTGGAATTAAAATGTAATCTAAAAACTTGATCAAGTTATTTGCACATGTGTACTTGCCTGTGGCGCTGGACATCGTATTGACACTTACTATATTGGAAAGAAATGCAAGTACAAATGTGAATCAAATGAGAAGAAAGTGGTATAAGCATATTCTCCTTCTTTGATTCAAATTTTGCATACTTTACGCAGGTTAGCTATCGGTTTCTTAATAAAAGGGATGATCCTTTCCAAAAATTAGACATTTTGTGTTAAAAAACAGGTAAAAAGACTATAGTTTACCGAGACGCATCATAAAACCGCCTACACCTCCCTACAGTTGGTCACGTAACGATTCTTGAAAACAAGGCGTACGGGAAGTGGCCGAAGAAATGGTACAATCCGAACTGTTTTCAGTAGTGTTCGTGCTTGTCCAAAACACGTTGAAACATCCGGAAAATTCCGACCTGTAGATTGAACACAGGACATACAGATGGACAGACAAGCTTAAACTCACCTTTTGAATCGGAAGGTATAATAAAAGACGGGTCTATCTTAACTTTTTCTGGGTATTGCACACATCCGCACAAACTTAATATACCCTTGTAACACAAGTGGTATAGGGTATAAGAAATTGAGATATTCACAACACTTGCAGTAAAGGCCTATTAAACAAAAAGAGGTTGTCGTTTAGGAAGGATGATTGTATGTATCTCAGGTAATAACCATTCAAACGTTATCGTCGTGCTGACTATTGAATTCTCTGCAGAACGTCGCTTAATGACGTTCTTCACTCTTCTTTGTAAGAAAATATCAAAACAGATGGCTTGTTGACACCTAAATGCATGAGAGCCTGCATAAAAATATATTTTATGGATTTTTTTTTTTTGAGAAATAAGAATTTGTCTGTGGGAAACTCGTAGACATGCCGTGATCCGAACGGTTCGCGATTGGGGAAACGTAACTATCTACTAAATTTTTTCAAAGTTGCAAACAATTGAATGAACACAACGCACGGACGAGACATCAGAGGGACAGACAAACTTCGACAGCGTCCGTATTTGGCAAAAAGGCGTTTACCAAATTTTCGTAAAATTACGATCAGCCGTATGAGCACGAAAATGCACGGGTACACATACTCCAACCCTATGTTCGCGTCAAAAGGGAGCAATTCACCAAATTTTGTCAAAATTGCGATCAGCCGGATGAACACAAGAATACATGGACGGGATATCAGACAAAGGGGCAGAGAAATTTCACAAAATGTAACTTAGTTTGTTTACCTCAAGGAAATGAATTCCGTTTGTTTAGCCTAGGGAATATACAGGATGGAATTGGAAGTTATTTGCTTTGTCGTAAAATTCGACGGTAAAGCTTCTAGAAAGGTGTAAAATAATGGTCCGCAATGATCATTTAATAATACCTTAAAGTAATTGAAGGAATGTAATGGTCGCTATTAAACATGTATTTTACTGAGTGAAACTCTTCTTGCTCATGTCTTGCGCATATTTTCGCTTTGCAAAAGAAAAAAAGAGGAAGGACTGACAATGCTTAATAAAAGGCGCCAAGTCATATCCGAAGAGCGAACATTAAAGAAAAATATGTCCTCGCTCCCACAGTCACAGCGCTAAACATCACATCACTCTACCCATAACCTCTTCTGATCACATCCATGTCCATAGATAGGGGCAACATTTGCCGCGAAGATTTCGCTTTTCGAAATTAAGCTGTTAGTTGCTCATCATAATTAGCGACAGATGGATACTGATATCTCAGTAACCGTACTTTACTGTATGCTATTAGCTTTCTCAGTTTGTCTTTCGTTTTACAAGAATAAAACCTATTTAATATATGCACGTACATATATCTTATGATGGGTATGAGAAATTACAGTCATCACGCCATTGATAAAAAAAAAATTTGTTGTCAATTCTGCAGAAAAGTAGGAAGAAATGCTTATTAAACGTTTCATATAGTTTCATGCGATCTGCCTATATACGGCTGTCCATACGCATTGGAAATAACTGTGAGAAAAACTTCATCTATGACAAATGCTGATGTATTCGCTGGCAATACAAGTGCAGCACAGCAGAAAAAGAGCGAAAGTGCAACTTTAACGGTAGTTTGATGTTGAATAAATTATGACGTTGCGTTTCTTATTTTTCTTATTTTGCTGCATTATTACCATAGCATAGCAACAGTTGTACGAAATGGTTTTTCCATCCACACATTCATACATAAACACATGCATATGTACATTGTATTTGCACATAGATACCTGTAAACAAACACACATATGTATATATACATATATATAAAAATACATATACGTATAAATGTGTGTGCTTTTGTGCACATTAAAGCAACTTAGCAACAGGCATTTAATGTTTACTTACACACATAGTTATGTATGGTTTTTTTTCAGGGGTTACGCGTACACATATACGCCATGTATGGTATTCATAAGTATATGTGCATATCTATGTATGTATTTACGTGCACTTATCAGCTCTATGATGTATTGTGTGCGTGTGTGTGTTTGTGTGCGTTTTTTTTTTTTTTTTAAGTAAAGTGTTATGTGCCAACAAGTGTTAGCTAAAACATTTTCATGCACGTACATGTACGTACGTCGGTTTCTGTGTACTTCCCCTAAAAAAAAAAAACAAAAAAAAACCTCCCATTCCAGTTTTTCATCAGCACACATCGCACACAATTATATATATGTTACACTTTTTCATCACAACTTATGCATATGCTTGACTATGCTTACAAACAACACACTTCAATCTTCAGTGCAGTCATTCATGGCTGATGAATAAATTGTTGTTGCTATGAGACCTAAATACATGTATTGCTGTATAAGTATTGCTTTGATAAATATTTTTGTAGTAGTTTCCTTTGCCGCTAATTTTTCTTATTTTTCTCGCTTTTTGTTACTTTCTGTGGTTAGATTAGGGGAAGGTATGCAACGTTCACGATGTAACTGGATAGTCATACAATTAATTAAGTATGTATGTGTGAGCGCGTG